GGGGGGGAAGTCCCACGAGGGTCAATGACCCCTGGATTGGGCAAACCTGAAAACTGGGGAGTCACCAAAGTCTGCCACGGACAGATAAAAGGCAGTGAAAAGTGACCCTCAGTGGCGCCTTCTTGATCTCCAACTCGACCAGACCTGTCCAGCCAGAAGGACCAGCCGGCGACCCCCTTCTGGAAGATAACACCACACTGAAAGAAGCCTCAACGACAGACTCCAGCGCTTGTAGGATAGGTATACCTGACTCTGTAGCCTGCTACTCTGCGTGTGTGTGTATGTGTATGCATGTGTGTGTGTGTGGGGACTAGCCCCAAGGTTTATGATTACAGTGTTTCAATCCACCTAATAAACTAGAATTTTAAGGATCCCGAGTTGGACATTTGTAGCCAACAGCTGCACTGAATGAGCAAGGACCCTCATTTGATAAAAGTGCAGGCAAAACATGCATGGATAAAAGCAGCACAGGTAAAACAGATGCGGTGTGACGAATGCACATGCAAATATCCTCCTGACGCGGAGAACGCGTGGCATCACGAAGGCTGTTAAAAATGAGGCCCCACTCTGGATGCCAATAGGAAGAAGGAGGAAAGGTGTTTGAGAAGGGACTTCACGCCGGACACGATTAACTGGGTGGAGATGGTGCAAGCGGCTGAATGAAAGTTTCCCAGGGAAGAGAAGTCTGATGCAAACGAGGAACAAAAAAAAAAAAAATCTCAGACTCAATAATTACGTTCCATTTTGCAGAAATATGAAGTGTGAAGTTTCATCACATAAAAATCCCAGAGACAGCAGCCATCCTTACGATGCTGGCACGGAGGCTGAACCAGTCAGCGATCGACTCCATCTCCAGGTGCCACGTTTGCTGTGCTCATGAAGAGTGGCAAGCCTGGCCTGGTATCGCTGCAAGGAACTTCAGAGAAGTCATTAGCACTTTCGTTTCTGAACAGATTTCATTAAGAAAGGAAGATAAAAGAAGCAAGTATGTGTCGAGCAAACCCTGAACAGGGTGGCAAAGGGATTTCAGCAGCCATAGGGAGTCCCAGAGATGGGTTTCCTGGACCCAAAGGGTCCAGTCCCAAAACCAATGGAGACAGAAGGAAAGCTGGTGCACGCGCACACCGGGGCCACGTGCAAGCAGAAAAAAAAACGAAACACTCATTTATTCCTGTGAAGTCTCCTTCTTCGGATACTGCCACGCGTCAAAGCACTAAGGGGCACAAAGCCACGTTTGATTCCCACAAATACAATTTGCATTAAATGAAATGATTATGAAAAAGAGAAGCTGTTTATTAGTCACAGACTTCAAAACTCATCTTCTTGCTAGCAACGAGCTGATTTGCATATGCAGAGACAGAGCCTTGCTGAGACGCCGCTCATGCCAAATGCATTTTGCAAATCTCATAGAAACGTACCCAAAATTTCAAATGGCAGTTGAGCCCCCCCAAGTCTATAGCTGGCTTCCCAATATACCTGCTGGCAGGTAGCCCTGCACACCCATCAGGAGCAGAATTTGGCTATGAATTTCAGGGATAAAATAATGGTGGAATTATTAGAAACAATTTACTTCGCTCTCCAGGCTCTTCTTTTGCTGAGAAAACTAAAAAGTGTGGTCTCAAACTCAGTGCACTAGCTTGGCGATTTCTGCCAGGGATGCAAGAGAAGAACTCAGTTGCCCTTTAGTTCAGGGGTGCGATGCAGCGCTCACAAAACAAGACCTAAAACGAACATTTTTCAGCTCAGGGATAAAATCCGTACGAAAACCGATTGAAAATCTTCATGTGGCTACAGGAAAGCTGAGTAAGCCGGGAGAGGAAGGACTGGTCATCTCATGGGAGCTCTCCTGGAAGGCAAGAGCAGGAACCACCAAGTTTCCATTTGAGCTAGCAGAAAACGTTGCTTTGGTACAGCACAGCTCTTTTATCCCCTCACGCTGGAGTTGTCAGCCAGCAAAAGGATGGAGGCCTTCAAAGGAACGAAGATCCTGT